TCCAAGGAGATGGGCATGCAAAGGAGATGGGCATGCAAATAGTACAGCAGCACACAAGGAACCAGGCACGTGCAGAAATCCCAGGCTCCGTTGCTGGCCCTGTCTGCTGCTGGATCATATCTGTGACATCTGGATCCGGCAGGCAGGCAGGAGGAGGCTGGACTGGCTTGCTGCCCCGGGTGGGGTAGCTGTAGGCAGCAAAAATGCATTTCTCCAGAGCTGCTGGGGATTGTTTTTCGATGAAACACACTTTCCTTGGAAAATGAGGCTGGGTCAGAACTGAAACTGCTGCCAGAACCATGAGCCAGGGAAATTTCCTGAGCCCAAGATGGGATTTCTGGTCCAGACCAGACACCAGCAGCTGGTGTGAGAGTTGGGGTTGGTTGGATGTTTTCCATGACCCCCAGAAAGATGCAAAGATGACAAAAATGAAGAGGAGGACTGCTGAAACACTGATGTTTTGGGGAAAATGGGATTATTGTGTTTCCCACCAGCCTTAAATGACTTGAAAAGTCTGAGGAGGAAGGGTGGGGGTTGTCAGGAGTCTTGCTGGACTCTGTTAGGTGTCCCCAGCTTTGCTCTCTCACACTAGGTCACTTGAGCTGCCCTCTCCATTCAGGCTGCCTGCATCCAGGAGATGCTGCCGACAGCTCGTGCACTGCTCATCGCAAGGAACAGGAAAATCGGGTGGGATTTTCTGCCTCAAGAATGAAAAAAAAAAGTGATTTGTGTCAACATTCTCATATGGCAATTCGCATTGAACGTCTGAAAACCCAACACAGCTCAGAGCATGGTGAGGGAGGGGAGATGCCTATCCGGTCAGGCATTTTTCATTAGAAAAAGCCTCCGTTCTTCAACCACCTTTATTCAGCAGACACAGAGCCTGGTGTCCTGAATGCATCTCTGCATGGGCAAGCAGGGCCCGCGGTCCAGGCCTTGCAATTGTGTGTCATGGAAACCAATTGCACACAGGAACTGGAGGCCAGCGGTATCTTCACTGGCCACTAGCCCCTGGAAACGCGGCCTCTGCGAAGGCGCTCAAGCATGCGCACGTAGATGATCAGGCCCTCCGTGGATTGCTTTGCTGCCTGTACCAGCTTCAGAATAGGCTGGTTCAAGCTCAGCGGGGTTTGGGTCGAATGGAGGGCAGGAGTCCATCCAGCTGGAGATGCAAAGTTTGGCCCCGGGGCGCGTCCTGCCAGTCTGTCTTGCTGGGCCGTTGGTGGCAGGGTTTACTGTCCAGCTGGGATGATCGCAGGGGAACGCTGCTCCCGCCGTGCAAGAACTAGCTGCTGGGCAAGCTTCACGCATCAGGGAGAAATCTGCGTGACTTCCAACTCACGGTTCATTGCCCACGCGATGCTGGGCTCGTTCGAATCGTTGAAGGGTGCGTGGGGAGAAGTGCTCGCTGTCTGTTAGGAAGGAAAGGTCACCCAGGCCCTCTTTTCTGCTGCTCCTTGTTCATTGGAAACAGACCCAAATGGAGCCTCTTGCATCGTAGGGGAATTTGGAGACAGATCGGCGTGCCTCTGCCTCCTCTCTATCCCAGCCCCTCCTCCGTGGGATGGCAGTGCCAGCTGACGTAGTGCCCGGTCTTTATCCAAGCCTGACCTATCGCTCCTTTAGCGGGCAGCATGGAGGAGCTGTAGGCTCCAAAGGACCCCCCCCAGTGCCAAGAGCCAGCTGCGAACGAAGGCTGAATGTGCTGATAGGAGCCCGTTGCAGCTCTACCAACCTCCGCAGGCCTGGTCTGGACTTATCAGACCCCCTCGGTTGCTGTCCAACATGGATACCCACGTCCTGCACTTCCCAAAATCCTCTCCCTCACCTTGGCCTGAACTCAGTCGCTGGTCGTCCTCTCTCCCCAGTGCTTAGGAACATAGGAGATGCCACTGACGGGGTCAGACCAGGTCCCTCTTGCCCGGTCTCCTGTGTCTCACGGCAGTAGAAGGGAGATTGAACTGGGTCTGAGCGGGGTTTTTCCCCCGTTCCTCTCTCCCTTGCAGCCTCCAGCATTGAAGGCTCAGGAAGTTCTGCTTCGTGCCCCTCGCTCCCCTGCTCAATAGTGACTGATGCCCCTTTCCTCCAGAAATGTGCCCAATCCCTTTTTGAGTCTGGCTAAACTCTTCGCTTCCCCCATGTCCGGAGGCAACGCACTTCACACTTCAACAACACACCCTGTCAAAAAAACCAACCCAACACTTCCTTTGGTTAGTTTTCAGCTCGTTTCTTTTTTATGACCTCTAGTTCTTGTATCGTGAGAGGCAGTAAATAATAAATCCCTATCTACTTTCTGTTCACCATTTTGTATAGCCTTATCATGTCCTCTTTCAAATGTCTCTTTTCTGGATGGAATAAGCCTGGCCTCTTTAGCCTCTCTTCCCATGAAAGCCCCTCCATACTATTAATCATCCTTGTCGCCCTTCTCCGGACCTTCTCTTGAAGCTCGGCACCTTATTGAAATACTTTATTCCCTGCCCATAGCACATTTATGAACGTCTGTCCCCGGCTTCATCTCAGACCTTGCTTCCCAGGGGCCGGACGCCGTCCCCTGATGGCGGCTGTCACCTTCCCTCTTGAATGTGCATGTAGCAGTCCTTGGATTAAATGCATGAGATGATATTATTGTTCCCCCAGGTTCCCAAGTTCACTGCCACGGTGCGATGCCCACTCAGGGCAGGTTTATAGACTTTTTAGCAACCAAGTTGCATTTGTTTTTTGGGGTTTTTTTTTTAAACTTAAATTAAACAGCCCAAAGTCTCAATACTGGGTATGTCACCTAAGGAAAACAGCTTGCTATTCAATGCTCCACAGGACCCATTGGCTGCAGTAGAATAGGCAAGTACTCTGCACCTCTCATCTAGGTTCCCAGGCTAGAAAATTTTACCCTAAATACAGAAAAGCAGTCCCCCACCGCCTTATCAGCAGAGGATCTTTCATCATGTTACACTAGGGCCCAGCCAGGCTGGACTTTCCCACCTCGGGCTGGCAGCCAAGCAGTGCAATAGACTCGACTACCAGGACGGTATCGACCTGGCATTTCTTAGAGAGGTTTCAAACGTGGCTCTGCCAGGGTGCAGATCCATCCGCGCTGGCTGGAGCGTGGGCTGGGGGCTGACCCTGCAGGACAGATCGCAAGGCAAAGGGCCCTGCTAGCCTGTAGCAGACCTGCTTATTTCAGGAACTGCCGCGGGGGTACTCCTGTCCCGCAGCACCAAAGCCCCCAGCCCCGTGCAGCTTGTTCCTTTTACTGCTATTTCAGAAAGTTTTTGGTTTCTCCTGGAGAAGGGCGGGGCAGAGTCGCTCAGCCTTGCTCCCGACTCAGATGAAAGAACATCTAATTAAAAGAAGCTGGTCATTTCGGTTCGGGGGGGGGGGACACGTGTCCATCCTGGGATTGCCATCAGTTAGGGAAACAGGTGGGTCTCACCCACCCTGATGCAATGGGCTGCGAGGGGGTCTATGTGATGGAAAAGCTGGCAGGATCCCTGAGTGCTATTATGGCTTTCCGCTGAAGCTTAATGGGTCTTTTCAGGGGCTAAAATGCATTGCCTATGAGCCAGCCTGCCCTTGGTTAACCAATGCGTGTGCGCTCCCTGTCTCCAGCACTTGCCTTTGGAACAGCCCAACAAAAAGGGGTAGCAAACAAACACACGTGGGACCAAGTAGCTGTTTCATTTACCACCTCAGATGCTCTCCACCCTGTTCAGACCGGCACTGCACAATGGCTCTTCCTTTCCAGCTCCCCAAGTACTTTCCTAACCCGATGTGTCTACCAGCAGGGTTGGCACAAGGTTAGGAGAGGGTCATGAATGGTTGCAAATGGAGAGGGAATTCATAGTCAAACCATCTGGGACACAGACCTCTTATTGCCCGAGAAGCCCTGATGAGAGGCCATGCCAATCTGGAGACCCTCAGTAATCCAGACACGTGGCGCTGGGTACGAGGATGGAAGATATTGTTTTCCGGGACGGACCCCTCCGTAAGGCAGCTGGCATTTCAGGGGTGCTGAGCCCTCCTGGCTCAGAGCCTACGCGGTCTGCTTATTCTGGATCAGGTCCATCCTAACATGCCTCCATCAATGATTGCAGACAGACCTGCGAAGCCTTTCTACAAGCCTCCGTGACTTGGGATCAGCCCCTGCGTGTGCCTCTCAAGGGTGAGCATGCGAGGCCGAGATGTTTCTGGGCAGACTCAAAAAAAACCCAACCCCAAGAAAATCCTCCTCACTCGCGTGTACTTTACTTTTCTTCATTTTATTCTTGTATTTGTACAGCTATATTTTACAGAACGCATTAATGCAGTTTAGACACAGCCCAAACCCTGTCCGCCCGAGATTGTTTAAAACACAAGCACGTAAAATAAGACAACACCCCCCCAAAAAACATTCCCCTTTGAAGAGTTCAATTCAGACTCCTTTCTGCAAACGTCGAAGCTGTACCTTGAAAAGGACGCTGGGCTCATGTAGTCCATACATTGAAAACTTCCATTGAAAAGAAAGGCACCGTGCGAACCACATTTTACATATATACAGACTGAAAACTAGAACAAAAAAAAAATTACACTTTCTTCTTATTATTTTAAATTCCTTCTTCAGCTTTGTCGGTTTAATACACACCTTTTTTTTTTTTTTGTAAATTGTAAACCTTCACTTGCAAAAAAATACAAATACACGGATGCATTTAGACAAAATATTTTCTTACTTGTAAGATGCAATACTTTAAAATATCTCGTTAAGTGCTCTATCACAATAAAGATTCTCAGGCTGGCATCTGCCTGCAGATACCAACTGAGCCTTTAATGCATTTTATATATATTTTTAATATATCTTTTTTTTTTAAAGGTCTATATATATTGATTTTATATATATCTATATATAGATATATATATATCTATATATAGCTATATATATTTATTTATTTATATATATATATATATATATATATCTATATATTTACAACTCTGTCATAGATTCCTTCACCTTTGGTTAAAAACATTAAAGCCCTGTCTTTCATAGCATACACAATTCATCTCTCTTTAAAACAAAAACGCACACGTTTTGCATACAAAAAAAAGAAACCAAAATTGTTCCCTCCCCACCCCCCGAAAAAAAAAAAAATTACATTCCTCATCTTCAGGCTGTGAAGGTCAAACTCCAGAGATTATCAACACTCCACTGCACAGACATGTAAAAGGACTATTGTTATTTTTCCTCTCTTATACACAAAAAAGATCTGAATAATTTTATTATTATTATTATTATTATTTTACTTTCACATAACTGGGAAAAATAAAACCCGTGTATTTTTGTCTTTTTTGTGTGTATGTGTGTGTATGTGTGTGTGTGTTAATATTTGTTTTTCACCTATCTGCACGATGGGCTTAGAGGCACTCCATCACGTGATGAACATTGTAAAGTGTTACAAGTAGCCTTTGGACATTGTCGATGCCACCCGTCCGCTTTCAGCACGCCTTGGGCAGCTCTGGGGGCACCTCTGTCGTGGAGACGCGATACTGCACCTTGGTGTTGGTGATGGCGCCGTGTTTCTGCCGGAGATGCAGCCGCAGCTGGCTTTTGTGGCGGAAATGCAGGTTACACTTCTCACACTGCAGGGGGGAGAGGGAAAGGAAAGCGGGTGAGACGGAGGGTGCTTGCATAGGAGGTTTTGTGTTCGAGCTGCCCTCACGGCTCCCTGGTCCCCACGGTCGAGTGCCACCTCCGGGTCATTCTTGCGCCCTGGGAGCACGATGCCTCTTCTACAGACAGGACAATGGGGGCACAGAGGGGCTAAGGGACATGCCACTGGCCACCCCGGGGGGTCTGTGGCAGAGCTTGAAGTTGAGCCCCGGTCTCATGAGTTCCAGTCCCCCTTTCATGTCAAGATAATGTCACGGAGAAGCCGACAGCTCTGCCTCAGCCTCGTAGCCGGTTGGTTCAAGTCCCAATGGGATTTTTGCAAGCAACGTGGCAGCGTTGCCGGTCTGTAGCACCTTCCCTCCAGCGCATTTCAAGCTCCCACGACTAAGCAGCTGGGAGCACCCCCGCGGTCTATAGCCCCCCGCCTCCCCAGTCACAGAGAGGGACACTCAGAGCAGTCAAGCAGCTAGCCAGGAGCAAACTGGGATGTCTTCTTTAAACCTCTAAACAGTCCCTACTCCTGTGGGGGGACGTCCATGTCTATCTGAACTCATCCCACCAGCTGGAGGGATTGTGTGACCTCCTCCCTACAGCTGGGTGGGGGTCTTCTCACACTCTCCATGGGCTGGAGAGCAGTCTGGGGGGTGGTACTGGTAAGGCCGGATGCTTCACCATGCCCCAGCTACTCTGGGTTCTGGTGGCAGCCTTTTCTGGCCGGCTCCAGATGAGTACCCATCTTTATTCAGTTCAAGGTTAAGCTGCATCGCTCTGGATTTTGATCTAGCTGGGTCAGGGGTAAAAGCAGCCCACCGGGACAAGCTGTGCCCAGTGGGACACCACAGACTCCGGGGTCAGAGAGAAGCCAGCGGGGCCTAGATCCACCCAGGTGCATTGCACCTCGCTTCTCGCTCCGCACCAGCATCTTAGTCTGCATATAGCGAAAGGGGAAAGATCCCTTGGGAACTTGCAGGCTCCTCAAGGAACAGTGACCTTCTCTAGGTAGGGAAGGGAAATGGAAAAAAAAAAAAATTACAGCCAAGGTGTGCGCACCACGCACTTCCACGTGCAGCTGGTCTGGGTGAAATGCTACCTCAGCAGCTGGCTTTGCACAGGGAGAGGAAAAGCAACCTTGGGGAAAGGTCTTCTGAGGATGCCCGAGGCTGTCCAGGGGCACCCGGAGCGGGGGGTCAGTCTTGAGGCCATCAGCCTTCTGCCTCCTAAGGGGCTTCAGCTCTCAGTCCCCGCAGGTCACTTACATGGTACGGTTTCTCTCCCGTGTGGATTCGAAGGTGGCTCTTGAGGGTCTGTAAGTGCCGGAAGCGCGTGCCGCAGATTTCGCAGGGGTACGGTTTCTCGCCCGTGTGGATGAGCACGTGCGCACGGAGATGAGCGACCTGTCACGGAGGAGACAGCGTCACAGACGGGTACCCGCTGCATTGAGGCTGTCCTGCAAGCGGTGTCTAACACCCCCCACCTTCAAAGCATGAGCTGGTGGCCAAGGGCTGGGGTCAGGAAGATGCATCCCTCCCTCCCGCTGCCCCAGGGGTCTGGACTGCACAAGCCTGGATCACGCAGGAGCGGTTGCTTCCCCCAGCGCCATGAGAATTGCTCCTGGACTAGCTGGACCGTGCGCCAGTCATAGCCATGCTATGAAGCTTTGGTCTGAAGGGACTATCCAGTTGCTCTTACAGCTCCTCAGATGTCCCAGCTGGAGTGTGAAGAGCCACATCTCAGCCCAGCCTGGCACACCCTTTCCCAGTGGTACCCGGCAGGGAGTTTCTTGGGGTCCTAGATAATCGCACGCCCCTAAGCATCAGCTGCTGATGTTTGTAACATAAACCCAACCCGAGCCCCCGCAGCTCATGGAGAAATGCAAGAGGCAAAAGCCAGGGTCAGATTAATAGCTAAGCTAACTGCTAAGAGCAAAGTCTGCAGTCCCGTGTTTTTCTCCGCTATAGCAAGGAGCATCCTTCGCCCAGACACTTTCTCCAAGTCTTTTCCTCACGTCCCCAGGCCACGCAGCAAAGCAGCTCAGGCCCTGACAAGAGGAAACCCCCACCCTATCCCCAAACCACTACTCTGGGTAGTTAGCGCCAGTCCTGACCTGGACAAATCTGGCTCCGCAGGTCTCGCACTTGTAGGGCTTCTCCCCTGAATGGATGCGCGTGTGGGTTTTCAAGTTGGCCGGTCGGTTGAACTGCGCGCCGCAGATATTGCACCGATACGGTTTCTCCCCTGTTGTCCAAACGGGAAGAAAGAGAGGCCTGTTTAGCCCACGGTACCCAGAGCCAATCTTTGCCACAGACTTCCTCTCTTCGACATGTGAATTGGTTGTGTAAGTGTTAACAAGAACCAGGTAACATCCTCCCATCCCCTAAGATTTCTGAGTGGAGACTAACCCTCCATTCCCTTCGCTTCCCAGCTATTCTCCCATTACCAGTAAGATTTCCCCAGGCTGGGCAGCACCTGGATGCCTCCACTGCAAACACAAGATTTGTGTTTTTGTCTTTTTTTAACATCGCACTCCGTTCGGTGCAATTTTAAAAAGTTGCATTGCTGCCCTCTGTGTTGACCCCAAGGTGTGAGGCCAACGTTGCTCTTCCCCCATCAGAGATGCCCTTGCACCCAGGCACAAGCTAGGTGCCCCACCCAGCGATGCGTACGCTATATGGGTCTGTAATGCTCGGGCATTTGAGGCCCCACTTCAACACGCTCCCAAAGCCTGGATGGGAACGACGGGCCGTACCTGTGTGAACGGTTTTGTGGCTGGCGAGATTCCCTTTGTAGCGGAAGGAGGCCTGGCACCGGTCGCACTTGTACGGCTTGTCGCTGTGCACCTGCAGGGAGTGTCTCTTGAGAGAAGCCTCTTCCGAAAACCTGCAGTCACACTCGTTGCAGAAGAAGGCGCCGTTTTCTGCTGGGAAAGAGGAAAATGTAGGAGATCAGCACGTGGGTAGTCGTGCCCGGGATGCGCCGTGGGCTCGGGGAGCACAGAAAGCCGGGGGGACCCTGTCTGGGACTCGGCAAAAGATCAGCAGCTCCTTCGTGATGCCCTTGGCGGAGATAAGAGGTCCAAGATCGAGGCAAGGTGTGTGGCAGAAAGCCACCTTGGTTTCTCCCCAAAAATCTCTGCCCTGTGACACTGTGATTTAAATCTCTGTGCTGTGACCATTCAATTAGGGTGGGCCCAGCACACAGGGGACCACCCCCTCAGCCTGTCTCTTTAGGGAACTGGAGCTGGCTGCATTCCTCAGGGAGGGGGAACCTGCTCCCTCTGCCTACGTGACTTGCATCACTTACCTGGGTGAGGGGCATCTACCTGGGGAGCTGGAATCTGCCCGGTAACAGGTGATGCATTTCAGATTGGTTGGCTGACAGCCAACTGGGGCTGACCTCCGCTGGCCCAGGTGAATGAGGTCACAGGGGCTATATAAGTTAGGACGGGGAAGGGGGCGGGCTCTCCTCTCCGGCCATGAGGTGACGCAGCAGCCAGGCAGGGGACAGAGAAGCCTTAATATCTGAAACTGGCTCTCTCCCCCCAAACTCACGAGCTAGGGACCGCCTGCCTCCAAAGGGAAACTTCACCTGCCTTTGGAAGATGCTTGTGAGTAAGCTACTCAATCTGATTAGATATTTAGCTGGAAGTATCACAGATGCATAATCAAAAGGCTACCACAGCCAGACTGTTTGCTCTTTAGGATTTCTAGATATTGCTCTATCCTGTACCCTAGTTTACCCTACCCCCTGTAATCAATAAAGTTCTCCTTTTTGACTGGTGTGGGAGACTTATTGAGGG